CCCCCCCACTTTAAACATTTACAAAAATGCCCCCCTTGTGTCTTTCTTTTGCATTGTGTGAGCTGGATGAAGGGTTTTGCACGTTGGTTACTAATGTTCTCGCTGTTGTTCTTGTCACGGTTTGCTTTGATCCGCAGATGATGATAGGAGCATCGTGACAGAACAGTTAGAAACTGTCCCTAAAGAGGAGAAAGCCGAGAAGGAAGCTCGGAGATCATCTCTCGAGAAACATAGAAAAGAAAAGCCTTTTAAAACCGGGAGAGGCAGAATTTCCACTCCTGAAAGGAAAATAGCTAAAAAGGAGCCTAGCACAGTCTCCAGAGATGAAGTGAGAAGGAAAAAAGGTTCATTTCACAATCACTTCTTTAAAAAATGTTTTTGAAGTAATTCATTATTACTCGTTTTCTAGAAGAAACTGCCTAACAGTGGTTAACTATTTAATGACGTTTTGTTCGGTGTTGCTCCAAATGTTCATTTTTTTCCTGATGGTATGCTCTTTGTGTTTTCTTATTCATAGCAGTTTATAAGAAGGCTGAACTTGCTAAAAAAACAGAAGTTCAGGCCCACTCTCCCTCCAGGAAATTCATTTTAAAACCTGCTATCAAATATACTAGACCAACTCATCTCTCCTGTGTTAAGCGGAAAACGACAGGTGACTGTTCAATTCTGCAATGTGGCTGGCAAACATGGACATGTTTTGTTTTCGGTTTTGTTTTTTTAATCTCATTACCGTAGCAGCTTCTTCATTTTGTTTTTCTTCCCCCCAAAATCTCAGTAGTCATGAACGATTTCGCTATTAAGTGTCTCGTATCATTCTTTTTTTTTCCCCTCCCTGCAGAAGAGGTCATGACCATCTGTTTCTTTGTCATACTCAGACTTGACAGTGATTGTATCTTGGCATTGTGCTCTAGTGTCACGTTCTGGGGACTCCTATTTTCATTCTGTGTGTTTGGTTAGACGATGGCGATGACTATAACCGTGGTATGCACTCTCATTATTTGCTTATTTATCTCCCTCACGCTTAACCCCATACGTATTTGTCCTATTTTCTGTATCGTTGCTGCCAAATCTGTTACTGATGTTGATGAACTTACTGAAAAGCACTAAGAATACACAGTGATTTTGAGATTGAAAATGAAAAGCAAAATCTGGGGTGAAATAGTGGTCGCAAAATGACTTTGCTCTGGATGAAATGACATCTCTCAGCTGACATTTCATCGTTGAGACTTCCTTAAACGTGTTGGGCCCAAACTGCTAAATCTTCCTATATAATTCAGTGTTCAAAGTTCAAAGATAAAACTCTCCCACCAAATTTCTTAGAACTTAAGTGGATTTCTATTTCATTGCCTTCTTATTTTTTTGTCTTCTTCAAATATGCTTTTTTTTCAACTGTTGAAAAAAGTGGTGGAATGAAGGAGTGCAATATATTACAAATCACACAAAAACCATACAAATATCTATACTGCAAATTCTGTTCCTAAATTGTAGTGCTAAGTATTTATTTAAATGTGTAATTATACTAGGATAATCTTAATTTACAATATATTTTAACATTTGTTAAGTGGCATACTTGCAGTCTACAAAATAAGATGTCAGATTGCTGAATCAGAAAGGAATTTTTTCCTTTCTATTATATATTAGAAGTGCCTTTTAATGAATATTCAGATGGTTTTAAATGTTAAGAGCAGCATTAACCTTTGTAAGAAAAAGAGTCAAGTAACTGATGGTTTTATGGTAGCCACTAATAATCAGTTATTTTCCATTTGTGTTCATATTGGAATCGTTTTATGTGCTTTTCTTCAAGAACTAGTCTCTAAGGTGGTATTTGAAAGTAGAAGGCTTATAATGGTGTACAAACCTTGATCACAAAGATTCAGGCTGAAGAGTTCCTCTACTTAATAGTTAGGATTCACATGTTGTCTCTAAATCTTATATCACATCCTAGTTAGTTCATTTTCATTACATGTGGAATCTTTCTTCTAGTTAGACAGATATTTGGGCAGGCAGAAACTCTTGGTTTGGGCATAAAAATCCTATATCCTACCTGAAAGGCTATATCAGGATTGTGGAATTTCAGAGGACATGTCCAACGGTTTGATGAAGTACCTATATTCATTTCTGTTCAGTTTATCATGCAAGAGTAAATTGCCTTTTGAATTCAATCATTAAAGGAAATTTAAGATCTTTGGACGAATTAGGATCTTCCCTTATTCTACTCAAAGGTTAAGATACTCAGGCAGAAAGCTTACACCAGACAGGGTGCCACTGGCTTGAAGCAAACTCTATGTCACAGAAATTTGAGACATATTATAGAAATAGTAAGGAGGCATCATTCCCACTGCTTCTTCCTAAAAAAAAAAAAAAAAAATCAGTTCCAGAATCTGTGAATAATCTTACTAGCCAGTCCTAAATAGCATGGAGCATATTGTACACAGTTATTATTTTTATGTTAGAGCTGCAGATGGCACAAGAGACATTTTTGAAATTCATTCAAAGTGCTTATAAGGATAAGCGTATCCCCCACCCCGAGGTTTTCCCTCTTATGAAAGAAAATTAAGGAAGTAAACACACAAGCTTGTGTCTTTCATTTTCTAAGCTCATGAAAAGTTTTCCAAAACACAAAGGATTGTTTTCAATCGTTTAAGTCAAGTCAGGTAAGTCACCAACAGAAAATATGCTGGAGATAATGGAGTTTCAAATTGAGACCAGAAGTATAAAAGAACAGCACGAGAAACAACAGTAACAGATGTGGTAATAATTTCATGCAGTAAGTTCATGTGTAGAACGTGTTCTGTATTCTCGAATTTAAAGTTCTCTCATGTTTTCTCTCTTTGAGAAGCTCTTTTTCTTCCCTTCTCTTCTCATGTGATGCGTTTCACATCAAACAAGTGTGTCATTCATACTGTGAAATGGAAGGGTGCAGAGGGAAGAGGGGGTGGCCGACCAACAGAGTTGGGAATATAAAAGGCAGAAATATCTGTAGGTATGCCAGTGGCCACAGAAGGAGGGCTTGGGGATCTTCATGGACTCTCTTTTATATCGTGCCAACCCTGGAAACCAGTCATGAAATTAAATTCCACAGCATTCAGATTGCTACTCTGTGACTCCCGTTCTAAAGGATCTATCCTCATGTCATAGTAATTTAAAGGTACATCGGTGCAAAGAAAATTATTTGGTGTGCTTAGCTGTGCTTCGGTGAACCCTGGGCTGTGTTAATCAGCACGCCCTGGAGTGGGAGCCACATGCTCTGGTGTTGTTACTACTCAGGTCTCTTTAGGTTACCGAATTTGAGTCTCAAAATAAGCAAAATGTTGCTCTGCATTAGTCTGTTGATAGAACTGAATATCCAAAGGGTACTGGAAATGCATTTATGGGTTTTAGCCACTAAGAATGGGGTTGTTTGTGTCTTCTCCACAGCAGCAGGCGGAGAGTCATATCAGGTTCCCAGTGTATTTAAGCAGACGAAGGACAAAGTCGCTGTGAGTACACGAACTTCTTCTGTGTTCTTCATTTGAAGTTGCCCTTGGCATTGGTGGCAGTGTTTTAATAACTTTAGATATGAATTAGACTTCAGCTGTTTACACCTAAGCGTCTTTTGAAACCCGAATGATTCTCGGCGGCATTCGGGCACGTTTGAATGTCCTCTGGGATGGCACGTGGTGGTGGCTGGTGAGGCAGAGCTGGGATTTAGGCTTTTCTTTATTAGTAAGACAAAACGTGGAGCAGCAGGGTGATCTGGTAAAAAGAGGGGAGCCCCATTACTTACTTTTCATAGGTTCAAGCTAAACGATTATAATTAACACAAAACTAAATTTCAGAATACATATTTCTTGTTTCCACAAAATAATAGGAGCAAATTAAGCATGTAGATGAGCAAAAGTAAGTAAAAATATATTAGAATCCCTTTATCTCAAGATAACTTGTTACCATTTTGATGTAAAATCTTGACTTTTTGTACACTTTTATAGTTTTAATAACAAAAACACTATGTATCAGTTCTTACACAGTAAACAGAACACTGTCATTTAACATCCTTATACATTATTTTAATGACTATATAAAATTGCATTTTATTCATTTACAGTATATACTTAATCAACTACCTATTATTTAACATTGAAACTATTTTTTTGTTTAACAATATACTGTGTAAAAATCTTTTTGGCTAACTCCTCTGAATGCATCCATATGCATTTCCTAGTAGTGAATTTATTGTTTCGAGAAGAAGGCCCATATTTAAAGTTTTGGCTACAGATTGGCCTCCAGTAAGATTCTGCTGACTGCTTTGCCCTCCAGCTGTATACAAGAGTGCCCATGGTCATCTCTTCTAGATATTTCTATACTTTTTCTATATTTCCCAAGTTATGGAGATGAAACATCTTATTCTAATTTGGCTGTATTAGTGATATTTAACTTCTTTACATGTTTAAAAATTGTTTTCATATTTTGTGAATTTTATTTTTCATATTATTAACCATATTTTTTAAACTTCCAAAAGACCAAGGTCAACATGAAGTATTTTTCTTCTTTCTGATTGAAAGAAAAAAGAAATTGAAAGATAAAATCCTAATAAAATCCTAAAATTACAACAAATAATTTGAGTGATGTTAATTAGTAACATATCACAGTGTTCTTGGGTCTTAGCCATCAGGTATTAAATATAAATCACAATTCTTTGTTTAGCTTTTTCAAAACAAGTAAGATTTTAGACTTCCACGTTTTACTTATTCTCAAAAATAGGAATTCATTTCAAATAACAGCCAGACCTCTCATATCATCTTGAACCCAAGAGGCTTTATGTTGTAAAAGCATAAATAGATATATATTTATTTGATTTGTATATAGATGCTTTTAGACGTAGCCCTGAACATATGGTAAGCAATAGAATCCATTTATTGCTTTGGTAAATATTAGTGTTTATTTTGAAAATACTGTGATTTTAAGAGTTGTAGGCTAGAAAACAGACGATGTCCTATATTAGCTATATTATCTTTTCTTCCTGTGTCTTAATTTTCCGAAAATAATGGAAGGAGTAAAAATTCCTGTATCATAAGTTAATTGGAAAACCTTTAGGAAATTTTCTGCAAGTCCCTTGTCCTTTGAATAATTCTACAGGAATTGGCATTCAATGCTTAAGACAGAAACCATATGCATCTTCTGACACAAAATTAACTTTTTTCCCTTATACATACCCATCTTGTCTTTCTGAAGAAGATTAGACCACAGTTTTTTCTAACTTTTTCATTTAACATCCCCTTTTTTTCTTCCTTGTAACCTCATTTTTTCCTTTTTCCTGAAATCCTAAGATAAACTTTTATTTTTCTCTGATATTCCGTATATCCATCAGAACAGTTATCTCCGAGTTTTCAATTGATCTTTATTGTGAACCTGACCTATAATCCTTCATTTCATTTGGATTTTGTGTGTGTTTATTTTATTTTGTTTTTGTTTTTAGCATCAGATTAGTAGTTTTCTTTCATAATTTGTAGCAATCCAATTACTCCATTTTTCTTTCCCATACTCACACTTTTGAAGTTCACTGCTTTGTGGGTAGCATCGATAAAAACAGAATGACTCCTGCTGACCCAGTTAACATTCCCACACCAGGTGCTGGGTCTGTAAAACGGGAAGTGATTTGTGCAACACCTGAGTACTTCTGCCTCTGGTAAAGTGGCTACAGAAGTTCAAACTTGAGATAAAAAATTGTTTCAACTATTATTTTTAAACAACTAAGTCATATGAATTATTTGAAGGTAAAATAATAGAGTTTCCCATGATACATGTGGCATTCCAGCATAGTTTTCTTTCAAAACCCTATGTACCCAGCCCACTTACTTAAACTTGCCCACCATCTCCCCCTGGATTATTGACACCTATGAATTCAGTCTTGTGATTTTTATGGGCAGTCTCTTTAGTGCTGACTTTCATTTTTAGAGTTTATAACACATCATACAAACTGTAACCTATGCATAAAAATGTTTGAATTTTATGGTATAACTTGGTCCCCAGTATGCATTTTACTCATAAAATAAACTCAAATGTAAACTCTGTAGTTTTCTGATGAAATCAGCATAGATTGTCTAAAATATATTTTCTCAAGAAAATTTTATCAGATTTTAAATATACCTTGTTCTAACATTCTTGAAATGTGACCACTGTATCGGTTATCTATACATCTTAAGAGCTGTGTTTATCAAAGGAACAATTCCAACAGACTCACAAGATGGTATCATGTAAGACCTATGGATTAATCAGAGACTTTATACTTTGATTCCATAAAGAATATTTTAATCTATATTCTCATATATGAATATTCTTAAGTTAAAAAGAGGTATTCAATGAAAATCTTTTGTTCTCATATAAACATACATCTATTCATCAATTATAACTATTTATCATCTGTTCTTATTAAAAGTATACATTTAATTTCTTATATGTTTATACATTTTTAAAATTTTCCTTTTACTTCGTAGTTTGGTTTATTTTGTGCTTTTGTTTGTTTTCTTTCATGGCTAGAATTCTACCTTGTCAAAGATTCCTGCCTTTCAGGGTAACACAAAGTACCCAAGATGCAGCTCAGCCTGCCCTAGTCCGACTAAAAGGACTACATTTTCTGACAGTTTTTTAATACAGCCCACGTCAGCGGGCCCCACAGACCGTTTGCCATACTCAGAGTCAGGGAACAAGGTAAGGCAGCAGGTCGGCCAGAGGTGCAGAAAGGAATATAATCTGGGAAAAGGTTATAAGACCCCATTCAATAAATGAATGATAGCAAAGACCTTAAATTCTAATATAACTGACATATAAACAATAGACTTTTATGAAAAACAAATGCAAATGAAAAGCTTCAGTAGCTATGAACAGTTTAACCATTAAAACAATAGAAAATGTCTTTTATTAGGTATACCACCCATTTTTAATTTATTATTTATTTGATATTTAATGAAATTTCAAATACAAATAAAATATTAAATATAATATTACATGTAGCGTGCTATATATAATATTGTATAAAATCTTATAATAAATTATAATACAATGGAAAGTTTGGACTTGGCATCAGACACATCAAGATTTAATACTAACCTCTGCCACCTACCAACTTGATGATCTTGAAAAAAATTATATAAACTGATTAAAACTGTCTCTGCTATAAAATGCTTATGTTCTGTAGTGAGAATTAAATCATAAGTGGCTGGAAAGTGGTTCTGGTTCCTGTCACAGAGTGCACAATATCTGGCAGTGGCCCTTGTTGGGAATGTTAGGCATGCAATGCCCTGCTGCCACCCCTTTTTGATTAATAAATTATCATGCTAATGAGGGTTTTTCAGTAAAATTACTAATTTACTGAAAATTACTTGAGTAAAGTCATTTTGCCTACGTTATCCTTTAGAATCGGAACTTCACAATCCATTATTAACAGTGAATCCAAAGTACTCTGTTTTCATAAAACCTCCAGGCAAATGTGAATCCTGAGTTTTGAAGTAGAAATGCTTAGAAGCGTATGAAACCAGTGGCGTGTGTTAAAGAAACTCACCCATCAGCATAGGAGGAAAACTAGCCAGAGCAATGTAACCACCTCGTGTAATTAAACCTGAGATTCCCGGGAACCCAGCGGCCTCTGTTTTCCCCCAGCAGGATGGAGTGAGCAAGAGCCCAGAAAAGCGCTCCTCCCTGCCCAGGCCCTCCACCATCCTGCCGCCGCGGAGGGCCGGCTCCGGGGACCGGGGCGACCGAGACGACAGTTCCTTCTCCCTCAACAGCTCCTTCTCGTCGGCGCGGCGGACCACTAGTAGGTTATTTTGGCTTGGCCTCCTTTCTAATCACTGTTTTTAAATCCTACAACTGGAGCAGAGCTTATGGACTTACACTTTACGTTTGTAAAAACATGCTTTAAAATCAGATTACATTTGTCCTGAGAGTCAGAAAATCCAGGCTGTTGATGGGTCTGAAGAGCTGTCTGAATCAAAATGATTCATGGAGGAAATGAGTGCATACGGCTTTATTATCCATTAAATGGGATTGAAACCGAGTCATTTTTCTCAGTGTATGTCTATATACTGGTGGTGGTGGTGGTGATCCAATGTTTGGTATTGACAAAAGTGCTTTGAAATTTGTAAAGTGTATTTTTATTTACATCATTATTCTTTCAGAAAACATCTGAAATGGCATTCAAAAACATTTAAAAATGTAATATGAGAGAAATATACATGAAAATGGGGGAAAGGAATTAGATGATAGAATGAAACTAAAGTCAAGTTGAGGCAAAAAAAAAATGCATCTTGCAATATCCTGAATAATTGACAGTGAGGGATTATGGATTTGATTTCAAACTACTAAACTAGTAATGAAAGTAGAAGAGAAAACACAGGTACAAAATTTACTGTGAATAAATGTTAAAACATCCGACTTTTCTAAGAAGAGAAAGGGACTTTGTAGGTATTAAGAACTAAGACTAATTTCCTTGTGAGGAAAGCACATGATGTTGTAGACAATGTCTGACATCATTGAACCGCTTTCAGTAAACACACCTGCAACTCTCAGTGCTCAGCATAAGCTGAGGGGGAACCATTGAAACACAGTTCAATAAATGACTTTCTGCATAGTCCAGTTATGTGATTGAGATCACAGTTTTATATTGTATGTCCACCTGGGGAATGAACTGACTGCACCGGAGAATGAATGGTCTGCATACCATTCAAGGAATCTGCAATAAATATGAACCCACGGAAGATGAAGGGCAGACTCTTTTTGCAGCTAATGGCAGGTCCATATGCCTTAATGGTGACCCAAGTAAAAAACAGCTTTGACATGTTCGTAATAGAATTAAGAAGAACATACCAAGACAACCCAAGCTTTACTCCTGCTTTGACAGCAATGCATGTTCAAAAAAAGTGTACCAGGTTCTGAACCTAAAAAAAGAAGGCTCGCCTTTCCGAGCATTGCTGTAATTCATAAATGTTCTAAATGCTTTAGAAACAGAATGCATTGTGAGTTCTGACAGTTATGGGAAGAAGGATACCTTGAGGAGAACTTTCTTGTGCTGAATTTTTGGTTTTGCTTTTGATTTGTTAATATAGGGTCAGAGCCAATTCGCAGAGCAGGAAAAAGTGGCACTTCAACCCCCACTACCCCTGGATCAACTGCCATCACTCCTGGCACCCCACCAAGCTACTCTTCACGCACCCCAGGCACTCCTGGGACCCCTAGCTATCCCAGGACCCCTCACACTCCAGGAACCCCCAAATCTGCCATCTTGGTGCCCAGTGAGAAGAAAGTCGCCATCATACGTACTCCTCCAAAATCGCCCGCTACTCCTAAGCAGCTTCGACTTATTAACCAACCACTGCCAGATCTGAAGAATGTCAAATCCAAAATCGGGTCAACAGACAACATCAAATACCAGCCGAAAGGGGGGCAGGTAAGAATCGTATGAATACATATTTCCTGCCAGGTGTAAAACCCCACTAATTATTATACCTTCCTCATATTATAAGCTAACAGTTCTTACCCCAAAAAGGGAGGTGCTGTTACTGGTTATGATTAATTACCAAGAGTTTGGAACTTATCGGAGAAAGCTAGCTTAAAAAATATAATGAAAATCACCTGACATATCCATTTCTTCTGGTTATTATTGGATAAAAATTGGTTTGACCATATAAGAGAAACTTTCATTTGGTTGCTAACAGATCTTTTCTAAATGTATCTCGATTGCCTTGTGGATTTTAACTTAAGAGATTAAAATTTCATTTCTGATAAAAATTTGAGCGTTCTATTTTAGATCCTGACTGTGAGCTCATCTGACTATATTTTAGTGATTCCTCTTTCTTCTCCTTCCTTCTCCCCCAAGGGTTTCCTGTGACATCTTCTACCATTTCCCCATGTTCACTCGAAATCAGATCATGGCTTACCAAGTTTGTTCTCTGGCTGCTGTTCCCTGAACATTGCAAAGGGCGAATATCCCTGTTGATAATGAATAGATAGTTCTATATGGTTTTGATGAATAAAATTGTACTAGAACCCTATTTAAGAGTAATTATATTGGATAGAGTTATTAGCAAAGCTCTACCTATTAACTCCAGCTCCAGAGCAAACATTCACAGCTTTTCCAAAGAGGGATCTTTTTGTTCTGCCTTGACCCAAATCTTCCTTATATACTGTATGTTTGGACCAAGCAATTAGCATGGAAGGAGATAATAAAAATATAATTTAGCATTTTCCTTGTGATATTGATGTACCCATGGGATAGGTTGACTTTTCTTGTCATTGAAGGGATAATACACCCATCTTTGAGAGAAAGAAGAAAGGAAGTGATAATTTTCTTTGTAGGTGAATAAACTTATATTCCCCTCTCAATATTCCAAGAAAGCCTTTCCTTTTAGCCTCAATAATTTTTCCTGCCACTCTTTTTCTTATCAGTGGCAGAAAATGTAAGAGATGCACTGCAGTTGAACTGCCCTTGTAGGAAAAATATATCACTCAACATTTTAACACTATCCTGTAAAAAGCCTCCTTACAGTATATGATCTCAAACACAGGGAGTGTGGAGAGGTTCTTTTTCTGTACATGTTAAACTAGAAAGTTTGACCAGATTGTTAGAGTTTCCGCTTTATAGAATGACTGGGAAAATGTTTTGCTAAAACTTTTTAGAAATTGTCAAGATGATATGCTGAAAACCTTTGTGATCTAATTGGAAGTTTATAAATGTACATTTGGGGGGTAATTGAAGCCACATGTATGTTGTTCCCAGTTGTAAACTGATTATCTTAGGACATTTGAATGGACAGTAGCCAACCCAGAACCATTGAAGAGGACAAGACAATAGCAATACTTTCTGTAGGAGCCAAGTTTTGCAGTAAAGGTATGCAGTATGTAGGTATTGAAAAAGATAGGTGCACAATTTTTATTGATGAAGATGGGAGTAAATTTGCAGATGAAACCTTAATTCTCTGCATAGGCTCTATCATCATACAATTTGGAGTGGTTAGATTGTATGCAAATGATAGAATTTTAAAAGTTTTATTGTTGTTTTAACATTTGCACAATCACTAAGAATTGGGAGAGAAAATGTATAATAAAATATATATGTGTCTTGGGAATTCAACAACTTTCCAAGTTGAGAAGTTTATTACTTGCTCCAATTTGAACATTTTTTGCTCTTCTATACATATGGGTTTTGTGCTTATAGCTGTCATCTCTCCTTTTAAAATCCAGTTTTCTATTGGCAAAAAGTCTCCGCTCTGTGGCTTAGTTCAGTGAGGCAAATCGATGCCTAATGTCACAGATAAGCTAGTTGAGATATGACGAGATTGACAGAAAGCAATAAAGTTAATCTTTTTAGCTAAAACAAGTTCATTCTATTGGAAAGAATATATGCAATTCTGAATTTGTTGTAGACAGGGAGCTTGGCTAATTTAACTCAAGGCAAAGGTAAGACTATCTTATTAAGTTTATTTTGAAACTGTCTAAATCTAAGTTTTAGAATAAATAGCATTAGTTGTTTAAGAACACAGTTGCTTGATTAAGCAAGGGTAGGAAAATAAACAATTTCTCTAAATGTATAGCATTAAAAACATTTAAGCAACAACTCAATGAATGGCACTTTATACCTTCTCTATGTATTTCTTATAGGCACATTGACTTATATGAAATATGCCTATATGTTTTGAGAGGTTTCTTGTTTCATCTCCATCAGCCTTATGAAGATCAGTATACACAGCATCATTTTTGTACCCTTATGATAATTTATAGTTACTAATGAGGTGATTTCACAGAGGCTGTCATTTACAGATTATTGGAGAGGGTGCTTAGGTGCGTCATGACCTCTGCCCGGCCGTTTCTGTGGACCTGATGGGTTGCCTTGTGAATGATGTGCGTCTTCATTCATGAGCAGATGGTCATTTCGGGTCAGCTGTGCAAACGATGGAGGCAGCCGATTGACGATTCTCTCTCATCATTGATGTTTCTCTCTCTCCCTCTCCCTCTCTCTCTCTCTGAAATCAATAAAATAAAAAAAGGTCAGCTGGTTGTTTCAGTAGAAAATCTGTGACTCTAGAAAGTCTGGGGAAAATCAACAGAAATCAACCTTTAAGTTTTAGGATTTTAAGATTTAAATGATCTCTAAATAATGCTAGCAATATGTGTAACCACTTTGGGTTTGAATAATTCATTTTGGAAGTCATAAAAATTGTGAAAAAGTTGATTAAATGATAGAGTCAGATTCATGCAACTGAATTTTAGAATTTCCATTTTTGCAGCAAGTGAATCAGATTTAACATTTGGCTTTTGATCCCTTTGTAATGAGTCACTTGAGTGGGACTATAATGATCTCTAATTTAAAATTTGTTAATGAAATATGAGACCGTGTGTATTACTAAGGATGAGGAAATAGATGAATGCTATTTCATTGCCAAAATAATTAGATCTTCATGGATAAAAATTTAAAGTGTTATTATTAGAAATAATACGTAAAAATTATTTCCTTTCTAAAGTTAATTTTTGTGGCTTGAAATGTAAAGGCCCTTGTTGACTTAAAGGTACGTGCATCATGGTTTATAGGAAATTCTTCTATTACAACTACACTTGTTGTTTGATATAAACTATGTGATATGAAACTGGAATTTTTATTATGCCCTAAAGAGTGGTCCAATCATCACGTCTTCCGAATTCAGATTTTGACAAGAGGCCCTTCCCTTGGGCTGCCAATGAGAGTTGTCAATGATACTTCCCTATAGGGGACAGCTATCTTGTCAATGTTAGTTAGGCAGGCATTGCGATTTAAGCTTTGCCTACTTAAAAATAGTCAGGATTCATGTCCTCTTGAATTTTTTACTTTTTTTAAAAAAGACCAAGAGATGTGATACTATTTTGGGACACAGCTGTGTATCTAGGATAAATTTATTTAGATTTTTTTTATATAAGAGAATAAACTGTCCCATAAAGCACTGAAAATGTGATTTCTCTTTAGCTATTGGGGGAGAGGAGGAATAATAGTAGTTTTAGACAAAGTAAAACCAACCAAACAAACAACAAAAATAAACCTTTCTTTCCATGCTAACTTTGCTTATCTGCCCTCCAAGATATGCAGAAGTCAAAAGACACATCAAAGAAGTCACAAGAGTTATTACTTTGCACATTATATTACAACAAACTAATATATTTCCAGATCTGGATTTGCTATTGTCTTCAAGATAATTCTGAACTTCCTGAAAATAGAAATAAAACACCTAACCTCAGATCTGTTGGACCCAACCAAGGCCTGGACTACATGACCTAGTAGTACAAGTCAGCTAACTAAAGTTCTTTGGTTTTCTCCTTTCCACCAATGGAAAGAATGCTTCCACACCCACCATCCAAGGGTAATGGCTGTCTATGAGCAGTTGTCAGAGAGAGACCTTTCAAAAGGCCACTGAGCCAAACCTATAGGGGAGGCCTCCTTGTTGACCCTCTTAGGAAACCAGGGGTTCTTCCCCTGAGTGAATGAGGACCCTCATCAGTAGCATTCACTAGACCTGTGCTATGTGGGCCAATAATACAGTTAAGTCACTTGTACAAGATGATTTATAATGGTGATGGCTGACATTGTCAGGGTTAAGGCGAGGCAGGTAGGGCACTGGCATATCCTTCAGGATCCTGGGCTGAACTACACTGAGCTATACTATCGGACCTTCCATAGAGTGAACTTGAGTCCCAATGTTGCCCACAGTATTGGAAGCCTCTTCCTCACAGATTATCCAAGTTCTGTTCCTCTAAACTTCTGTTCCTCTAATTGCTCCCAGATTATGCCTGCCTACTAAGGTTCTCAAGCATTTGGCCCTTGGGAGTGCAGAAAAATAGAGTCTCATTTTTATGATAGATCTCTTCAGTACCAGTGTTAGTTTTTTCTCTTAAATGATTATGTAGGTGGAAGGGAGTCTGGAGCCTTTGGGGCACTACCCAGTCCGGTTCCCTATACCCAGCATGTTGAAAGAAAAATGCACAATGAAGTTACCTCCAATTCCTTTTAGGTTAGGATTTTAAACAAGAAGATCGATTTTAGCAAGGTTCAGTCCAGATGTGGTTCCAAGGATAACATCAAACATTCTGCTGGGGGCGGAAATGTAAGTAGAAGCTTCCGTTAGAAAGCTGTCCTGATTGTGCGGAGCCCTCTGCACAGCCAGCACCCTGTCTCCTTTCCTGCCTCCTTCCCAACACACTCCCCCTTCTTGTTGCTGCGCCACATGTTCCCCTGATCTGGGAGCTTGTCAGCCTTGCATTTTTGGTGATGGGTTTCCCATCCTTCCCTTTAAGATCATCAGCAAATTACTTCCTTTCAACTGAGAAACAGAACCTTAATGGAGTGCACCATGGTCTTCAGGGGGATGGAAAACCCACTTCACTTGCCAATTTTGTTCGCTGGCCTTTGGCCCCAGGGTATTTGCTCATGCTGTCTCTGTTCCCCTGCAGAAGTCGCCTGGGCGCACGCTTTTCTAGTTCCACTTACATTACTCTTGAAGCGCAGACCGATACAGTTGAACACACCCACTGTGTAGAACGGGCCTTCCGCGCCTCATTATTCCCGAGAGTTGGAAATCACCTGGAATAATACAAAACTGGTGAAGCATGGTTCATCTGTAATTTGAAGTGAAAGGATTCAAATCCCTGTGTACATGTCCTAATGGTATTTTTCCTGTCTCTTAAATTGAGTGGAAATAATATCCTATGAGAGGAAGGGACAGATGAATTCATGTCTCTCAAGTGTAGCTGAGGCAGAGTTGAAACAGGCAAACTCAGGCCAGATCCTGTCATCTAAACTCGAGGCCCTGGCTCTCTGTGACTCCCATAATTTAGAGTACCAAAACCAGAATTCTCATCTGTCTAGTAACTCTTGGCTCCTTGCTCCTCAGCTGGGCAGAGATGGAGTCAAGCAGTGAAAGGAGAGATGAGAAGTGACTTCTACCAGAAACAGTCACCTGATGTTCAAAGTAGATCCACTGAGCATAAAAATGTCACTGTCATGGGAAGTCCATAGCAAGGTTTGCTGGGCTGAGTCTCAGGGTCAGTATTGACGTGGACATGGTTGCCCTCCTCCCTGTTGCCCTGTTGCTGCTCAGCACCCGGTACTCACAGAAACAGTGTCAGTCCTGGTAAATAGCTCGAGGGGATGAGCAGGTGGGCCCAGCTGTCCTCTACTGCAGGTCTGCTGGTCAGAACACCTAGTGGGAAAGAATAAATTGAGATAACTAACGAATTTAATACAAGTAGGGGAGCTTCCAGCCTCCAAAACAATAGTTTTGAACTTTCCACTAGAGAAGAATCACTCACTCAAATGTGCAGGTTCCCTGGCCCATTTCCACAGGGTCCAGTTCAGTAATTCCCACGAACTTCTGATGCAAATGGACAATGAACCACACTTGCAGGAGCACTGTTTTAAACACTGGGAGAGGAAATAATGTCAGCAAAATACAAAAAGAAAAAAAAATGTTGCTATCAATTAGTAATTTGGTGCACAAGAAAAATTCCATTTACCTAACACATGATAATACTCTTTTAGAAAAGCATGTTTACAGCTTTCTTCTTCTTGTATCTTAAAGCAATGCTGTTCTTTTTGTATCTATGGGCAGTGTCGGTCACTTTTATGTAAAAATCACTTTTGAAAGACTAATTTCTCTCTTCACTTGGCTCTTTGCTTATGGGAAGGTTTAACATGATGTGGCTTCGTTCTTGCCTTATTAATCCAGGTGTTTCTGTGCCCTTGTGGCATGATCTGTTTTCTACTAATAAAATCTTCTATTTTAGGATTTTCTTTCACTTGGGTCCTTCTTTCCAACCAAACTTGTGGGAGGACATATGGGGGATTATGTTTCCTATGTGTGTATGTACTTCAGTTTGGGTTCCTGGATATGTTGTAGTGTGTTGTGAGTTTGGCTATGTTTCTAGATTTAATGGATGATCTTAGGGGATTTGTTCATGTCTAAACTATTTTAAGCATATTTTATGTGATTCACACAGGTACAGATTGTTACTAAGAAGATAGACCTAAGCCATGTGACGTCCAAATGTGGCTCTCTGAAGAACATCCGCCACAGGCCAGGTAAGTAAATACTTTTTAGTAGTTTGAGAAATACTATATTGGATTCAAGAAATTGACAGGCAACATTTTTGCTGTTGCGAAGTACCCAATTGGAAGGACATTTCAGTATCCTGATACTTCATTCTTTTATTTAGATAAACTTAAGTTTGAAATTTGGGCATCTTCATATGGACAAGTAAACTCAATTACCAAAAATAGGTCATATATCATAGGACAGGTTAAAAATTAAAAGGTATATAAGATGCACTTATCTCTATGTACTCAACATGCTTATTGCAGCTCTTGAAATATATAGTCTATAAAATACATTGGACCATGTATTAACACATAATTACATGGACTGCAAGCAGCATTTCCAAAGATTTTTCACGAGATTGTTTTCCTACCTTGTGTGAAATAAGGATTGTGGTTAAGTGAAGCTGAAGAATTTTATCGGCTGAATTTCTTGGATCCTTGAGTAGTTCAGTAAGCACTGTAAATCCTCAGCAGAATACAATGCTTCCCCAACTTATTTGACCGTGGGCCTCTTGTTTTTCTAGAATATCTCATGGGATTAGTGCTCTAAAGTAGAGTTCATATTCTTACTTCCTAAGAATTTTTTCCTCTCTCATGTGTGACTCCAACATACTTTGAGTCATCTTTCTGAGTCAAATTTATTTTTGCTAAATTCTGCCTCCACACATATGTAAATAATGGACAACTTGCAAATGTGTAATTTTCTTGAAAATATTTTGATACAATTTATATATACCATTGTATTATAGAATAACAAGAGGAAGCAATTGGTTTTAATAATCTATGCTTGGCATCTTAATTAAACCAGGTAATAGAGTGTTCCCGTCTATCATTGTCTCAAATGTTATCAGAAACAAGGTATAAGAAAAATTGAGCCCAGTAAGATTGCAAACCAGGAGAAGAGTATTAAGATTTATTAGCTGAAAAGCAAAGGTAGATAGGATAAGTTTAAAAAGGGATAAATACATTAGAAACGTCTAGAAATCAGGCTTTACTTTGGCAAAGGGTACTCATAAAGCAAGTAAAGGAATTAAAAACTGCTTATGTGGAATCTCTATTGCTACTTTCAGAACTGCTACCCTGGATTTAGCTTCTCTGCCATTTCATGAGGCAGCAGGGATATGGCCCCATTCTGTCTATCTTCACAATTCCCCTGTCTATAACTCAAGCCTACAAACACTTAGTTGACTTTGTACTTCCCTGTCAACAGTATGACAAGTATTTGGCCATACTGCTTATATTCTTCAAAAATACAAAAGAAAATATTGGATTCTTTAGTTTCAGACAGTAAGTATACAATTATTCAAATTCACCCAGGTTCTTATGCACAGAAAAATCTTATATAGATAAGGAAATATTCTGTGTAAGATTTACTGGTTATTGTCATGGACTCCCACCTATTTCTAAATCTAGCGCTTCTTTAATAACTGAATCATGTGACTGAATTCATAAAGAAGCGTTAGCACAATGATCCTTGACAACAGCAAGCTTTTCGCAAGGTTACTTTGGAATGTGAAATGTCTACGGAGGATATAAAGGAAACCAGCCAACACCTGCAGTCGCAGATTGAAATGCCTGGTCTTACTGACCACTTCAGGACATACGAAGCTCGATAAAGGTGACAGCCTTTCACAGTTACTGCTCCTGAGGGGTGCCAGAAGTCTTCAGAACCAAAAGCATAGATCTCTTAATTCAAGTGGACTTCTCTAACAGTTCCATAAAAATTTCTAGTGGGACTTTAACAAAAATAGGCTTCCATATCTGAATATATTTTGGGTCAATTACATTATTTTTTCTCTCTCAAAATACAGTCCAACAAAAATTTTAAGTTTGTATGGACACAACATATAATCGTAAAAGAAAGCTCAAAAAAGCAATTTCTATCAGAGGCTACCAAAAAATAGAAAAGTAAGATCTCCAGAAAGTTGATTTTATCTAGTTGAAACCTCAGTATCCTCCAGCCTCTAAACAAGAATGTTTTGTGAGTCACACTGACCTCATCACAACCAACAATCAAGACTCACACTTGTTTGGCCAGGTAAAAAATTTCCTGCAATAATGCATATTTTGAGAGAAGGACAACTACCTTTCTCTTGGAAGCATGAGTTAAATAACATCATGCACATTTGAAGCTTTCAGGAGAAAAATAAATGGCTATATCTTCAAAATGTAATCCAATAACACCATATAATATTAAGGGGCCTGGGCCAAGTAGTTGGGTGCTAATACAAATAATTGTGTAAGTATTTCATGAAAAACACACCACAAGGCCTGTGAAGCCTTTATAGACCATTCTCTTTGATCTACAGAGATAAATAAGCATCAAGAAACCAAAATTTAAAAATCTTTTCCATGTTTCCATAGACTCCATTAGGTATTTCTTCCCAAGTTAAAATCCCAAGAGAGATGCCATAATAACAGAGGATCATATGGCTTACCGCTGGCCTTCCAAAAAAAATGCACACAACCAAAACCAAGTTGCTAATGAAAGTGAAAGCAAGTCTCTGAGGTGGAGATGGGTAAAGGAGACTAATCCAGCTTCTTTCCAGGTCAAGGACATCAACAGAAACTCAGAAGTGCTCAAGGACAGGCTAAAGGACAACAAATACCTACCCAGTGTAGAACTCTTTGCATAAGCAAGCTTGAGAAAAGCATGCAGAAATTGGGAGACCACCCTGAAGGATGGCACATGGCTCTCTCTTCTATCAGGAGAGCCTTGATTTTCAGACTAATCAGCAGTTAGGGAGATGGCATGGTCAAAACTCTGTCTTAATATTAATCAGGTCGAAGTTGGTATCAGATAGGTCTTAGGACATCATTATAAACATGTGTTCTCCTTATATTCCATCTACTAATTAAAATGAGAAGCTCTTAAAGCTTATTAGTATAAAAAAAGTAGCTCCTGACTTCAATTTTATCAGTCAAGCTATCAGTGTTGAAACTTACAAATGAATATATTACCCGGATATGTACCATTTCTAGCCTAATAGTTCTTTGTACCAGTGACCTATTACCATGAAGAAGAATAAAGAAGAGCTTCATTTCAATATAATTTGCTCCCTTTGGAATGAGAGTCTAAATAGCCCAAGTTTTAGAAAGGACAGACTAGTATATTTTTATTGTGCTATTTTTAGTGTTTATTATACAGATAACAGAAACCTCTCTGGTATCTTAGGTTAAAATGGGTAGAGGAGAAAGGTATTAATGTGTAAAGCAATCCACATAATGGTACAAAAATGGATGTCATTATTATTCCCCATTATATGGGGAAAATGGCATGGACTAGAAATTTTAAAAGATTTTTTTCACATTTCTGGTCAAAGGTATAGTAGAGTTAATTAAGCTTGTGGTTTACAGTGGTCTATCTCCTATAATCATTTTGGGGAAATAGTCACCACAAATATAAGATTTAATTTTAGCAAGGCATTTAAAAGCCTTTCTCCTCACTTAGGTGGTGGGCGTGTGAAAATTGAGAGTGTAAAACTGGATTTCAAAGAAAAGGCCCAAGCCAAAGTCGGTTCGCTTGACAATGCTCACCATGTACCCGGAGGCGGTAATGTCAAGGTAAGAAACAAGGTCATGAGCTGATCTCGTCTTTTCTTCTTTCTTAATCCTTCTGAAATACTCTCCCTCAGCATGTGTCCCAGGTCGAAGACCTGAACGTGTAAGAAGTAGGAATGGCAGAGCTGAATAGAAGTGACAGTCACAGTAGCTCTGGGATATAGAAAAAGATCTGAAGGTCAGTTCAGATGCTTGAGTTAACAGGGACTGATGCTTGTCTTGAACAGATTGACAGCCAAAAGTTGAACTTCAGAGAGCATGCTAAGGCCCGTGTGGACCACGGGGCTGAGATCATCACCCAGTCCCCAGGCAGATCCAGCGTGGCATCCCCCCGGCGGCTTAGCAACGTCTCCTCTTCTGGAAGCATCAACCTGCTTGAATCCCCTCAGCTTGCCACTTTGGCTGAGGATGTCACTGCTGCACTCGCTAAGCAGGGCTTGTGAATATTTCTCATTTAGCATTGGAGTAATAATATTTAGGCATGAGCTCTTGGCAGGAGTGGGCTCTGAGCAGGTTATGTTTATTCTTTACAAACCATAAAATAAATAATCTCATTCCCAAACTCTAGTAATTGTTACAGTTTTATAAAAAAAACAACACACAACAACAATAGCATATGCAGAAATTGACCTGATTTCCATTTGCAGCAGGAAGACACTGGCTTTACCTAAGTACAATTGGACGATTATTTTTGCTCTGCTCTGTTTTGCATGGAGTATTATTATTTGAAAAATTGCATTTTTACCTTTCATGTGCCTGAAGGCTATCCACTACATTCTGAAAGGCCTTGTTAACATCCAAGCTGCTCATTTCACCATTCTGTTGCTGGGTGTAAAGATAAAAGCTGCACATTGTAACTTATTACAGGTTAAAATAAACCAAGGTATCTGATGGCAGGAAGGGAAGAGCATGTAAGAAATACGTGTGTGTTTTTTTAAGTGTTATTTTGTATAAAGGGGAAGAAAGATTCGATTAAGTTATTAACATTTGGGACCTGGATAATTATATCAGAGTATAAGTCAATTCAATAAATTATTTAACTAATTAAAAAATAGTTACGAAGCATTGGAGCTGCGGTTGAGGAATTGGTGTAAAAGTGCTCTCTTAGGAACGAAGCACTTTCACTAGGATGGACTCATGTCTTACTAGAACGTCAGTTGATCAGCTAGATTTGTGTCCACACTACCGGTTTCACACCCCCTTTCCATCTGTTTGATACAGTATTATAGATATAAATATATATATATATTTCTCTGTGGCCATTTGTGAGACTTCCTCATATACTTGAATATTATACTTCCTTATTCACAGTATCTGTGTCTCCTGCACCCTTTGGTGTTGCAATTTTAGGTGTGTGAAAGTAGATGTTAGCAGGGTTCTTTCCCTATTTAAAAAAAAATACATTAAAAAAGACAAAAAGTTTTAGCATGAAGTTGCTTCTGTAACAACTCAAAGCTGTAACCCTGTTATCGTGCCAGGTACAAGTCTCTCCCGTGATGCTAGAAAAATTTATTTTTCTTTGCTTTCACCAACATGAAGTTTGTGGGGGCGGGTCCAGTTATACATAAAAGGGTTTACAGATCGTTGGTTTAAGGTTATGGATGTAAATTATTTTATTTTGAATTACGGAATACTTTGGGTTTTACTTCTGTAATCATTCATGAAAGACTTAAGATTTCTTCCTTTTTTTTTTTTTCCATTTGCTAAAGTTGAAACTAACAGTGGGATTTGGGACATGTTAGCCCATTCTTCCAAATACTACCTGCTTTTTAAGTGATCTAACAGAAGAGATTTGGCTTCCTTCCCCAAAGTAAAGATCCCTTGATCGGAAAGGAAAAATACAGTATTTTGAGATGCGATAGCTACAAAGTACTTGAGATACAGATTTCAGAATCATTTTATGAAGGACTCTGTACAGGAATACTGTATCACTCAGCATTACTTATCAGTAGATAATACTGTTTTGACTTAATATACAGTCTAGAGATCACAAATCAATTAATTCCTCTCACAGATCATTCATCTTAGACTTAGGAGGAAACAGTCAATGGCCTGAATAAGGCAATGAGTTGCCAGGCTGAGTGGATGCATTTTAGTACTTTTATCTGTTCTTTTTCTTGCTCAGGGCTGGTATGTTAGACTTGAACAGTTACAGGCAAATTACCTGGTAGGTGTTTGATTCTTTTGAGCCAAATCAATTCCTGAGTACAAAGGAAGAAATGACAAGCATGGGTGAGGCAAAAAGGAAGTATAATAGCATCTAAGGGAGAATCCAAGGGGTGCAGTAACAGAGAGACACGGGTCACATTTTGTGACTCATTGAATATTGGAACCAGAGCGAATTCCACCAAAGAAACCCTAGGAGCAGATGCGCACCATTCATTCTCAACAAAGAGGTTTTACATAGGTAGACATGTCCGAAACTGTGTATAAATCAGTGACTTCACTCAACAGTCAAAAAGATAGAAACCCCTGAGTAGGACTATGGATGTATCTATTTTCTGCCTAATAATCGCTGTGAGGTTTGGTTTGACCAATCTGGGCATTTTATCCATCAGCTTCCCTTAAGGTGCACCAGAAAATAAGAGAAGTAAGAATAGTCATGTGGAAACTTACGTTATTTTCTTACATGTTTGATAGAGTTAGATAGTGATTGAAGTTCTGTAGGAAGAAGTTAAGAGCTGGTTAGAACTGTTTTAACAAATGAAACGTATTTTTTTTCAACTTGGTTTAAGTTTTTTATAAAAGTTAAGAATAAGTGAACTTGCTCTACATATTAAAATTCAGTTTCTTAATACATGTCCAAAATAAAGATTATATAAAGCATGAAGTTATTAGATTTGGCATTAAAGGAAATGTTTATTTCAAACCACAGCAAAATTACAATGAATAAATGCTCTTCCTTGTATGGAAATGTGGTTCTCTGTAAAGTTAACAAAAGAAAACACACACACCCTGATTATTTATACCAGTAAAAAAGAGAAACACACAGGATAAATGTCTTCTTATGGGGATAAGTGGTGGAGCCCATCTTGCCTTCACTCTCAAGATTAACGACACAAATTAAGCTTTTTGAACACCACTCTTGTGGGGACATCCATACGCTGATCTAGAAATTAAAACTTCATGGTTCTAGTTCTAGATCTATTCGTGCCAGTTTCTCTCTGGCTTTTGCCTTTGAGAACCTGTTTAAGGATACATAAGTAATCCAGAGCTCTGAAGAGTTAAAAGGCCAACTTCTCCAGTGAACTCACCCTCTCTGGGTCTCCTGCAACCAAGAATTGGAAACCTTACAATGATGCAGGAAAGATCCGAGTTTATGGTGAGTTTCAAAGGCCATGTTCATTTGGGAACCAACTCTCTCTGGATTCTCCTGCTGAGTTCCAGCAGGGGGATGGGCGGAAATCCCACCCACAAGCAAGGCACCTGTGTAACACCAACCAGGTAGGGCTGAAGAAGGTTAGAGAGAGACCTTTGTTAAGTGGAAGATTATACTGATGGTAGCTGGCTTCTCCAGACTCTTGTATAGTAATAGAGCAGGAAATGGGATCATCAACCAAAATATAACATGTCAGTTTTATTAAAGAAATAATCTCTATGTGCTTAATTCTGACATAGCTACAGTTATACTTTTTCTCATATTTTTCATTCCACAAAAATGAGGTAGATAAACTATTCATGATCTAAGTAGCCAACATAAATAAATAAATAAAATAAAGTAGATTTGTGGCTTGGAAGGCAGATTCTAGGCCTTCCTTCAAAAACTGGTGTGCTGAAATCAGCATTGATGTTTGTTTTTCTAGGCCTAGGATTTTTAGCCTCTGTGTGTAGGTTGAGGCCAAGTCCCTCTGCAGGAATAAGCTTATTTTTAAACCCAAAAAATGTCAATTATGAAAATCTACTTCAACTTTAGCAAAAAGAAAAAAAAAATCAACAAAAAGTATACTCTGTATGCTGGGATTCCAAGGTTCCAAGACTCTGCTACAAATCTGCGGGGGGTTTCTTTCTTCTGAGAATTCTAGAGCCTGTTACCATAGAAAGGCATTTCTTCAATGGCTGGTTGTAGTTAGTTCATGTTTTTCAATCAAAATTTGCAAATGTATTTGTTGCTGTATAGTGATTGTTTTGCAAAATAAAATTGCTTGTCATCTGATTGATTGTTTCAGATTGTTTCTTCTTCTCTGGGAAAAAAGTTACATATATATACATACACACACACACACACACATGTATATGTTGGTATACACATGTGTATACCTTGTTAGTATGGAAATACAGTATATATATTGTGCACTCCAACCAAAGAAAAATTGCAAAGAGAAGGCTACAATTATCTGCTGAATTCCTGCTATGTGTCAGGCCCTATTACTACCATGTTAGCAGAAGGCAATCTGTTGCAAGTGGCAGAAACTCAAATCGAATTGGTGAAGCATAAAGACAAATTTTTTGACTCAAGTAACCAACTAAGGCAGGAATATGGACTCAGGCATGGATAAATTCAGGCACTCAAAAGATGTCATTGAGAATCTCTCTTTTTCCAACTCTAAATCCAGGCTCTCAAAAGATGTCATTAGGAATCTTGCTTTTTCCAAACCTAGATCTGCTTCCTCTTTGTTGGTTTCATTCTCAGGCAGGCACCCCTTTCTCTGTGGTCACTGAAAGCTCCAGGTTGCACAACCTGCAAAGAAAGCCTCTTTCCCTGTAGCTCTAGCCAAAAGCCAGGACCGGAAAATCGTTGAATTCCTTGGGTCACCTGCTTACTTGTGCTGCCTGGCCAGGCTTGAGTCATATGTCCAACTCTATCACAGGTGGTTCAACCACACGAACAAATTGTGGAGAGGAAGTGTTCCCTTTAAAGGAAAGTTAGTCTGCTACTGCCAGAAGAGAGAGAAATTGATGCCTTGCAGGTCATAAGAACAGAAAGATTTTAACCCTTTCTCAAGGAAGAAGAAAAAACCCTCTCAGTAGTACTTTTATTTGACAGTAGCAGCTAGTAACTTTCATGTCCATGATAAATGCATTTAAGATTCTGATCCCACCTATATTTATCATTAAAGCAGATAAAAAGGAGAAATACAGTGGAGTATATATACTTGTTTCTTCATCTTATAATAAATAAAAATTTCATGGACAAATGAGAAGTGGCAAAAACTATCATCTTACTCAGTAGGCCTGAACATGTAGGATACTTGCCTGTTAACTTTTGGAAGTAAAGAAAGACGTAGTGGAAAGATGCTCTAACTTAGTCAAGAGAGTCAATGCTCTGAAACCCAGGACCGATTTTCAGTCGATATATATCTTATTTAGCTGAGTAAGTTGCTGCAGTATTGAAAGACTTGCTGCCCAGACCTCCGTATCAGTGCCCACCTTTGTCCACCCAAGCCTATGCTCCTGGGCTCCACAGACCTCCAGTTCAAGCACCTATAAGGTTAATGCCTGGTACAGCAGAGAGCCTCCAATATCCTGTGCCAGTTTCCCCAAAAGTCCTGTTCTCCAGGCACTACCAGTAGCTCTGACCCCCTTGGGGGCTCTGGAGGATGGCCTGTGCCTTGCTAACTCTTACAGGAAGCCCAGATGGTCTACACGGGCGCCTAGTAGCCTGCTGGCCTGTCGCCCACCCTGCCACAGGTCTCACGTGCCTGTCCTTGTCTCTGCATTGTCCCCCTCCCCCAGGTCAGAAGAAGACTGGAATCCCACAGAGAAAGCAGTGCCATTTTTGGCATCCTGGTAGCATATACCTGGTGCTCATATAACCATATCTTGGCTGTGATCACCTGCTTCCAGTCTTAATCCCCCCCCCCCAATTTCCCTCATATGGCTGCTTATAGGAACCACAAGCCGCTGCAGTACTTTAACTCGTATCCGAGTATTGAAACAAGCAACAGGCACTGAAGAGAGAATGGGAACTCCTGAGGCGACAGAAGGAGGTTGTGAGCTATCGATAATCCCATGGTGCAACGCGGGGCTAACTGGAGCCTAAGGTAAATCCTTGTTATGGTCCCTGTTGAATTCACCTTTATCTAAAACCCACCCAAAGGGCCCTCCGGTGTGGCTGAGTTGTTTGAATGATGTCCCATGCATCGAGATGTCACTGGTGTAATTCCCAGTCAGGGCACATGCCTGGGCTTCGGGCTCGATCTCCAGTAGGGAGTGTGCAGGAGGCAGCCGATCCATATTTCTCTCTCATTCATGTTTCCATCTCTCTCTCCCTCTCCCTTCTTGTCCCCCTAAAATCAATAAAAACATATTAAAACCCACCAAAAGCCCACTGAAGTGGGCATTAACAACATTAATGTTATACTTATTAAGTGATTGTCTGTGCCAGGCATTCTTATAAACATGTTAAGTCCTATGAGCACTGTAATTATTAATGTCCCCATTTTACAGATGAGAAAACTGAGGCATAGAGTGGTTGTTTAAAACTTAATGGGCAGAGTCAAAATTTGAACCCAAGCAGTCCAAGATGTCTTGTATGGTCTAATGGAGTAGATTTGATTGAATTAAGTATTCAAATAAACAATTTCCATGACAGCCATTACTAAAGATACCAATAATCTCAGTATTATAAGACACAGAAAAGAATTCATATATTTGCTGTTAATTCAGCAAATGATGAAAGAGAATTATCAATCATAAGCAATATCATTTATGTAAAGAGACATCCTTTTTTTATAAATGCAAGTCATCCAATGACAATTAATTAAATAGGAAGTCATTGGAACAATTGTATGCTGTTCTCTATATCAAGTCATGGCTCATACAAAGGCATCATTTAGCAAGTGACATCTATGTCAAGCAAAGATCCATCAACAATTTCTAAAAATCATCAGTGTGTTTGGAAATCAGGAAAATTGGGTGAACTATTTGTACTACACACTTGACAAGCAATTGCATGATTCCTATTATTTAGAGAATAAAAGGACTTTTTCTAAATTATGTGTTAACTTGTGGTAAATACATAATTTTTTCTAAATTATATATTTATTTAGCATAAATATTTATGCTAAATATTTTAACATCATGGTGCTTCCAGCACCATGCAGCTGTTTTTCTTGATCTGTTATGACACTAGTAACTGACTTAAATTTCTTGCTTTCATTTCAAGCCTGGCACGTGACTTAGATTTTCCTTATGAAACAAGGCTATAATTCATAGCCTAAATATAAGAATACCTGCTTAAGTTTTAGATGTGGAATACACACTTCATATAGTCTTAGTTGATTTTTAATATTAGTGAACAAAAAATATCATTTCCATTAACATCAGAAACCTAAGACGCAAAGAGATAACCTAGAAGACTTCTCAGCCATATTTCTGCTTCAACTGTAGAAAAATCAGAAAGTACTCACATTATACGGACGCCAAAGTACCAATACTTTGTCTTTTCCTGTGTAACCAATGTGTTCAAGAAGCATGACTCATATGAATTGTGATCAAAACGCAAATTTATTTTTGTCCCTCACAGCTTCTTTAAACATTATGGAAGAAATCCTCCCATGCCTCAAGCTGAAGACTTGGGCAGACTTGTGACTTTTTAGTCACTTTCAAATAATAAAATTATTCTGGTTATAAAAAGAATGTCAATGATATAAAAGAGTCTCAATTGAGAAATTAAAATGTCCAGCCCTTGGGACAGTCAAAACTCTGAAGCTGTTGGTGTAAGACCTGTGCTCTTCCCAGCATAGAATGGCCTCAGTTGCAAGCCTGCTCTGGGAGTGGGGTATGGACCTTCTGTGTTCTCTGTGCACTCTCTTTTCTTTCTTTTACACATTTTTATTGATTTCAGAGAGAGGAAGGGAGAGGGAGAGAGAGATAGAAGCATCACTGATGAGAGAGTCACTGATCTGCCTCCTCCACACCCTCTGCTGGGGATGGAGCCGGAACCCGGGCATGTGCCCTGACGGGGAGGAGGACCCCTGAGCATGCTGGCGGAGCTGTGCACTCACTTTCTCTTCTTCCTGACAGATGCTGCTTTTTCTCCCTCTGGGTATAAAACTGGGGGAGCAAGGAGAAGTAAGGGCAGGTGGTTTAATCAGTTTCCTTTCTCAGTGGGCGCCCAGTGACGCTTCCAGCCTCCGTCTGCTAAGGCTTCGCCCCCTCCCCCAACCAGACAGCCTTACTTTCAGGACGTAGGATGACTTTCTCTAGCTCTGGCTGGTGCATGGCCCTCCCCTGGCCCTCATGTATTACCTACCTACTATCTCTAGGAGTGGAGCCAGTTTCCAACTCAGCAGCACTCCTTGGCCCCACGACCAGAGTCCCCAGCCCTCCTCTGGCCTGATGGAGAACTCTGGAGTCTCCCAACATCAGGAAACACATTTCTGTGCTCTCCAAGCATTTGAATCTTCTTTGTATTCAGCTTCAGGTTAGAAGGCAGCACCACCCTACACTTTCCCCGAAAGAAAGTGTTACGGACAGCGTGACATCTCTGTGCAAAGAAATCCCCTCATCAATCCCCTCTCACCAGATCCCTCCCTATGGCCCCTTTTTGTGTCCTTAATCTGACAGAAACAAAGTCCTGGAGGTCGATTTCTTTAGACATCTGTACATGGGAAGGGGTAATTTTTCACTCTCTCTTTTGTGTCCTACTGTCAATCAGGCTGGCCTCTTAGTAGCTTCTCAGGCCCAAAGAATCCAATTCTACCATCCTTCTGACTTTTCTGTACTTTGGGCTAGAGTGGTCTCATCATGTTTGTACCTTTTTAAATAGAAAATGAGTAAATGCCACAAACATTGATTGGATGCTACTTTCCAGCGTGGTTCGGTGCCCTCCAGGCATTCAAGAGGCAAGTGAAGGAGACAGAGCGTATACAACATGCCACAGCCCAGGGCAAACAGTGATACGTGGTAGAAACCCAAGTTCACACAAAAACCTATGGGAGAGGGAGCCCAGGAAGGACAAGGGTTGGAAGGAAGGGGATTTCTAAAGCAAAGGCATAAAGGCATGAATGAAGGACACATTCTGAGAACATGAAATTATTTTCTGTATCTGGAGTAAATGTGGGTCAAAGGAAATGAGCAAAAAGCTTGGAGACAGATTATGGGTCTTTTATTATATCCACAAGTTTGGATTCTATGTGTAGGCTAAAGCGGTCATTAAAGGTTTTTGAGAAGAAATGACATAATTAGATCTGAATTTTAGAAAAGTAACGT